CTTTCATTTTGTACTTTAATTAATTTCATTATAGATAAACATAAAAAATTCATAAATAATTTATGAAAATTTATTTTATGACCTATAGATAAAGATAAAAATTTTAAAAATTATTTTAAAAAATTAATTTCTTGACTTATAGATAAATAAACATATAAGAATTGATAAATAATTTATAAAGATTAATTTCGTGGCCTACAGATAAAGATAAAGATTAAATAATTGATTTTCAAAAAATTAAAATAATAAAATTTAGATAAAGATATGGTTTGTTAATCTCTATATCTATCAAAAACATATATATCTAAATCTTTATTTTGATTTACTCATTTTTTTTTTCACCTATCACATATTATCTTTTTTTTATTTTAAATTTTTTATCTTATGAAATGCTTTTATCTATAACTTCTTATTTCCTATTAAATTCTTAACCTTCTCTTGACAATTTTTATTATTCGTTATTATCTACCAAATGATAAAGATTATTAAAAAAAAATTATCGCTTGGAAGGAGAATAGTATTAATAATGAAATAATAAAGGCTACATGGGAGAAGGTAGCACAAAAATCTCACAAAATTAATTTTCTTCACTATATTTATAAAAGGTAATAATTTGAGATTCTTTCTATTAGTTATTAAAAATAATTTGCATTAGGTTATTTTTATGTTTTTTTTTTAATTTTTTTATAAGGCTGTCATTCGTTATAGTATTTCTTCAATCCCATCTCTAAATTCTCTCTTTGAAATTTTTGTTTTTTCAATAATTAAGTTTAGAATCAATTTCTTATCAAATTTATTTTCTTGATCCTTATTTTATTAAAGGATCGAGACGAATAAAACTTTCATATAATATATGAAATTAATGAATATAATACAAAGATGATAGGGAAGTACTACATATTTGTCAATATCTCTATATTATTATTAGTTGATTTGCTAGATTATACTATCATTTTAGAGCCCATATGATTTAATTCAATGTTCATGACTCTATTTGTAATTGACCATTTTTTCGTTGAGTAACTGATATGATTTTTTTTTGGGTACATAATGATTAAAGCTATCATTTGTTATATTTTTTCAAATACAATTCAAATAATTTTTTATCATTTTTTTATAAATAAAATGGATTAAAACTATTCTCTTATATAATTTTTATAATACTATGACATTCTTATCTTGATTAATTTTTTTTAAATGACGTAGAAACTATGCAAGTATTATTCAAACTATGGAGAATAATTTATACTTTGATATGATATGGGTGTGTCATTGATAGAGGAAATCAAAGATACAGAGTTGCTAATATAATCAATTAATGATTTGTTTGAGAAGTTCTTTTTATAAGCAAGGCAACAAACTTAGATTAAATTTTTTTAAAAACTACTTATAAATTATAATTAAAAGTTGATATTTATTCATAATTTGATCCCACAATGATAATATACACCACTGATTTAAAAGTCCAAGTAAATTTATATATATAGTATAGATGTTATTAAGTGATTGTGATACTATTATTCTCAACAATTTTTATAATTAATAATTTCTTATGCATATCAAATTTTATTGTAAAATTTTGTGCGCTAATTATTGTTAACATCTACCTAGATGGCTTAATATTATGGCTTGTCACTATTAAGATATAATTTAAGATTAAGATGATTTATTTATCACACAAAATATATATATTCTATTTTTCCGTGTATCGCACGAGTTACCGCTAGTTTCAAAAGATACCAGCGTAATTTATCCATAATTTAAATTTTAAAATTATACTAAAAACACATAAATCAAACATAAAAACATAAATGTCACACGACTTTATCACAGTTGGTGTTTGACTTAAACTTGTTGTGAATTTAAATACACAGTTTGTGTTTGACATAAACTTATGTGAATTTAAATAGTACAATTTTAAAATGAAATCAAAATAGTCTAATGCTTAGGCCTCGTTTGAAAACTTTTTATTTTAGTCAAAAGGTCAAAAAATTATTAAATTAGTCAAAAAGTCAACAATTCATACCAAAAAGTCAAAGATTCTCTTTTCTCTCTACTTTTTGCACATCTTTTCATAAAAAGTCAAAAAATCATCCCAAACATATTAATTTTTTTTAGTTCATAATTTAGCCAAATAATTAAAAAGTTATTAAATTAACCTGTTCGGGGCTAGTTGGTAGTAGGGGTGTTCGCGGATCGATTTTGTGCGGTTTGCGGTTCGGTTTTGACCCCCACCCGCATCTATGCGG